TTTTTTTTTCAGCTCGGAAAAAAGTCTTGCGAAGCTGTCAGATTCAACATACAAAGTTTTGTTGGCGCAAAGCGTATGGTGACATTTGCTAGCAAAAAATCGAACCGCTGATGATTGTCGCCTCTTCGGAAATGGCGCGTTACTCTTCTAAAAGCTTTCTCGACGTCTTATCTCATGTTTTATCTGATGGTCTCATGTCGTCAAACTTTGGTCTAAAATTCCTCAAATTTCTCAATTTTGAAAAGGAAAGGGTTTTTTTTCAAGTCCCTCAGATACGATTTTCATGCATTTCAGTATGAGGATATCTCCGGCTATTATGAAAGCTCCTAAACGACTATCCCATTCGCTGAGAATGTCTTCAACCAAGGTAAATCATTCCACGATCGTGGTTGATTTACCAGATTAACTTGTTTAGGCCCTTACCGTGAAAAATATAAATCCACAAGTGGTCACTATGCAATATGCGGTTCGCGGACCAATAGTCATCAGAGCCGTTGAGATAGAAAAAGAACTTGCCATGGTATTTTTTCTGCAAATCTTCTATGATTTTTGCAAAATTTTCACCAGTTCAAGTTAAAAATTATCTCGATGCATTCAGGGTGCCAGCAAACCTTTCAAAAGTGTGATCAAAGCAAATATTGGGGATGCTCATGCTATGGGACAAAAGCCCATCAATTTGTCAGACAGGTTTCTAAATTTTACCATATTTGAATTCAATATGTGCGAGTTCATGTTTAATGCAACTCTTTTTCATAGGTACTCTCCTGTGTGTCAAATCCCTCGCTTATGGAGACAGGGAAGTTTCCAACAGACGTGATTGAACATTCAAAGGTATGATACGGGGTTTAGCCAATTTTTGCACGATCGTAATACTGCGAGGGCACTTGCATAGGCTTTGGTCGTACTCAACTTAGTTTTTCAGGCTGTTCTCAAGGGGTGCGGAGGTCACAGCACTGGTGCTTATAGTGAAAGCACTGGAGTCGAAATAATCCGGAGGCATATTGCTGAGTATATAACGGTATAGTTCACTCCTTTTGTAAGCAGCGTTTGGGAAGCAAAATCAGTTTTCTGCTTTGTCGCGTGTGAGAATTTGAAAGTCTGCACAGTCGCGCGGATATAACGCTTACTATAGTGCTCCTGCGGTTAGAACA